AAAGTAAGACTTCCGCTTGGGCTGTTGATAAGGCCAATGCGAAGTTGGAACGACAGTCAATCCACCATAGACTAAACTATTTATCGAACGTATGAAGACCAAGATGGTGTAATCTTTTGTGTGGGCGCAGTCCCGTCTCGTTATATAGAAGTTGTTTGACCTTGTTTTCGCAACTTGGTCATATTAGTAGGAAGACTTAGAGGAACGTGCCTAGTCCGGAGTCCATTGTCTGCATGATCATTTACAGAGTAGGACCATGGACGTGGTACATTCCAAGAAGTTACGTCGGCATCGTAGTCAGCATCATCAGTGAGTGTCGCCATTCTTAGCACCATATAACAACTTTTCAAAGAGACAATTAAGCCTATCCTTTGACCAACGTGTGATAAACAGTTGTGCTATTTTACCTACTGCCCTGGGATATTCACATTTCCTATATCCTTCTATAACACCGTCACTGTTAAAATTTATCACTATTGCTTCATCACCTTAAAGGAAATCGGGTGAATACATCTTATAAATAATTCGAGTGTGATGTGACCTTTTGAGCGGCCTTTATGAGAACCCTCTGTACTTCATACTGGCGTTCTCACCCATCTTCACCCTTGTCTCTCAAATTTTGATGAGAGTCTGCTAGATTATTACGCAGTCCACCTTCCCTAGGCCTTATCACAGTCACTCTCTTGCCCCGTAAGATCCGTCTGCCCTCTTCATGGCCAACATATTTCACTCGAAACCTACTGCTTGCTTTGATCAACTTCAATGTTGAACAACAACGTTTGTGGGTTAGCACACAAGAGACTAAGGCATAGAAAGTCATAGAATTGGTATTAGGGATAGAAACAGGATGGACGCGGCAAGAATGGAGCTAGTTGCTGACAGTAGGTTTTATAAGAGACGTGGTCCATGTAGCTGAGGCGTGAACATATGAATTACTCAGAGGCTTTAGCCTCGAATTAGTCCCCCAGAAACAGAGGCAAATAATAGCTCAAGTGACAAAGATAGGGTGGCAAGGCTCAAGTAAAATATGTGAACCAGGAAGGGAGGGAGTAGACGGATCTTATAGGGAAAGAAAGAGACTGTGATAAGACCTAAGGAAGGAGGATTGCTCAACAATAGGGCATATTTTGATCAACATTCCCAATGTGTACGGAATGTTCTCATGAAGGCTGCTCAAAAGGTCACAACACAATATATATAATTAAGCAAGAAAGTAAAAAATGGTAAGAGAGACGGTGTGATAGAAGAATATAGGAAATGTGAAAAACCCAGTAAATTAGGGGAAATACCACAACTGTTTAGCACACATTTGGTCAAAGGATAGGCTTACTTGTCTCATTGACGAGTTATTATATGGTGCTAAAAATGGCAGTACTCACTGACGATACCAAAGTTAATGCCGGCGAAATGTCTGAGAACGTACCACGTCCATAGTCCTACTCTGGAAATGATCATGCATAAAACGGACACCGATACATAGGAGTAGATTGGCTGGTATACGGAAACAAATAAAAAAGAATGATCAAATAGTTCTTCAGGTGGATAAGGGAGGAGCGGTGGTTTTAATGGACAGGAAACAGTAGACGGAGAAAATAGAAAGTATCCTTGGCGACTGGAACACTTATCAAATAGTACAGAAGGATCCAACCACGAATTAACGAAGCGCTTACGAATATGCTAAAGAAAATGCATACTAATGGGGAAGTTGACAGATGGATGATTAAATCTTCAATCAAAAATGACGCAAAACTACCGACAGCCTACGGACTACCAAAGATAAACAAGTAAGGAAATCCTCTAAGTCTAATAGTCAACAACAAGCACGGAGTAATGGATAAACTAACGAAGTTCATTTGCTTTAAGCTCAAGAAAGTAAATGACAGACTTTTGAATACAGTTAATTATTCATATGAATTTTCTCAAAGGATCCAGAACATTGGCTTGGTGAGGTCGGAACTCTTGATTAGCTTCGATGTACAATCCATGTACACAAACATCTTGGGTGAGAAGTCAGTAAGCGCTTTGCTAAGGATATTGGAGCGAAGAGATTACATCTTGGAGGCAGAAAGGATATGGTAAATCGTTAACACAACCGATCAACCTGACATTAATGACCACATATTTTACATTCAACGGCAGTATCTCCGAGTAAATATTTGGACTACCGATGGCATCTCAATTCTCATATCTTTTGGCAAATTTTTACATAGACAAGTTGAAAAGGGAATTCATGAAGTCACCAAAGCAACCAAAAGTGCTCATGCGATACTTGGATGACTACTTTGCACTTTGGTCACATGGTAAGGAAAATTAAAATGAATTCCTCAATTTTATTAACAAATTTGACGAAATAATTAAATTTACAATGGAGGTGAAGGAGTATGAACGACTACCCTTTATGAGCGTGGAGTCATACGCTCTAGAGAAACACTTATGAGAAAACTATACACAAAGAAATTATATGCGGGAATAATCCAAAATTTTCAGTCTCATCATAACTACAGACTAAAGATCATTAGTTGTTTACGACTAAGAGACAAGGAGTTCTGGGACAAGGAGTTGGACAAACTGACACGGGTTTGCCTTAGTAACGGATACCCCAGAGCATTTATAGAATAAAATTTAGAGATTATAAAGGAGCTATTTCAACTTCGTCTTTATGAAAATCAGATCAGGAATCAGGAGGGCGATCAGAAGTGGATTTGTCTGCCCTCATCACAACTGAGCCAACAATTGCGACAGTTACTAAGGAAGTGGAATATGAGGGTGATAACAAAGGAGAAGAAAACACTTTTCACCAGTCTGCCGACGCAACACGAGAAGACGGACAAGTAGAATAACCACATTTGCGGGTTATCACACAAGAGACTAGGATGTAGGAAGCAATGGACATGGTATAAAGATAGAAATTGAAAAGACGCGGTGGAGACTAAAACTACTTGGGTAACAATAGATGTGTTTAATCATAAACCTGATCCTTGAATCACAACTTTTGTTAGCCAACTAGCTCTAGCTTACACTGTTTCTATAATCTTTCTATCTATAATACCAAGTCTATAACTTGCGATGCCCTAGTCTCATGTGTGCCAACCCACAAGTGTTGTGTTTTAACATTGAACCTAATAAAAACAAGCAGTACCACAATATTTGTAGGTTACCACACAAGAGACTTAGAGGTAGCAAGTCATTAACTTGGCATTAGGGATTTAGACAGGATAAACGCGGCGAAGACTAGAGCTAGTTGGCTTACAGTAGGTTAAACAAGAGACGTGGACCATGTAGCAAAGGCATGACTATGAGACTTACTCAGAGGCTTTAGCCTCTAATCAATCACCAAGGTGCAGGGGGTGGACGAATTACACCTAGAGTAGCACAGATGGAGGGGCAGGAGTCGAGTCGAATGCATTACCAGGGAGATAGCAGACGGGTTCTACATGACAGAAAGAGACTTTGATAGGACCCAGTGAAGGACTACGCAACAATATGACAGACTCTGGTCAACATTCCCAGCACAAAGGTGAAGTAGGTGATAACGACAGTGTGGAGTGTGAAAGGTATTCATGAATGCCGCTCGAAGGAGCAGAACACACTACATTAAAAATAAGCAATGTAAAAATTTTGTCAGGGAAGGCATGATAGGAGGATTTAGGAAATGTTAGTAGCCCAGGGCCTAGGGGAGAAACCACAACTGTTAAGCACACGTTTGCTCAAAGGATGGGCTTACTTGTCTCTTTGACGAGTTGTAATATGGTGCTACGAATGACGAGACTCACTGTCGATGCCGACTACGATGCCGGAAAAACGTTTGGGAATATACCATGTCTACGGTCCTACTTAGGAAATGATGATGCATGCAATGGACTCCGGATTAGGTTCGTTTCTCTAAGTCTTCCTACCTCATAACCAAGTTGCGAAAACAAGGTCAAACAACTTCTATATTAAAAAGTTTTATAAATTTTTTATAACACATAGAAGTGTTAAGTTTAATTAATACTGATAATAGAGCATATTTTGAGAATCTTACTTAATCAATTATATAAGAAGTTTAATTAACACTAAATAATAGAGTATATTTTGAGAATCTTACTTAATCCTATATATTAGCTAGATATTTGTTATGCATATTCTTGAGTTACTAGAATATTTTCCAATAATCGATGTGATTAAACCATTAGGCTATTAGATTATATATAATTTAAAGCCTTTAGTTACAATAGTAAAATATTTTAGTTATATTCGTTAACTTCAAATAATTTAATGTTATTTTTATTTAAATATTAATTTCATTTTGTTTAACATTGTTGATTTGTACTCTTCACTTTAAAGTAGTTCTAAGGGCCAATGAAATGTCGCTTGTCTCTGAGAGGTCGTCTATTCTTCAGCACAGAGAAACGTCATACTCCACCATAACTCAAAGAAGCCCAAACCATCTTGAGGTGTATAAAGTCCTTTTGACATCATTAAGTAGCCACTTAATTCTGCGGATCATGGGCAACTTCCTTCGTTATCTGAAGCCACTATTTCGGTTCCGAATAAAAACTTTTCTTCAGATCATCTGCTTGATAGAAAATATGAGGTATTTTTTATAATGGCGTCATATTTTTCAGAGTCTTGAGTATGACCAAGCCCAAAATTCTATTTTACTCAATGAAATAGAATCAAATGTTGTCAATGTGGGTTTTTTCAAATTTTATTTTACACTAGTACGACCGAAAAATAACTTTACTTAGGTATTTGACCCTTATTTTGATCGGGATATTTACCGGAGCTTCTGCTTTCTTAATAGATTACTCGGTCGAGAAGTTAACAGAATATAAATTCTTCCTGATTATTTCCCGTATCCTTTATTACACATTACGCCAATTTCGCTATATCAGACTAATAAGCGAACCTTACATATAATTTTAGTACTAGATCACTACCAAAATGGGGCCTCGATTATTCTCCCTGGGTTTGTATGGTGTGCATTAAATGCATTTATCACCTTTTTTGCAGCCATTATGGTAGTCAACTTAGCGGTCAGTTTGATTTATACTTATTTGAACAAAATTGTTTATTTTTATTGCTAAACGTATACATTGCTTACAGCCTGTGGCTATTGGGAGTGGAATTTCTCAAATTAAGTGCTACCTCAATGGAATTAATGTGCCTTTTCTATTACGTGGTAAAACTATGTTTGTAAAAGGCCTCGGTGTTTTCCTTTCTGTTTCTGGAGGACTGGCTGCCGGCAAAGAAGGTCCAATGATACATATCGGTTCTATTTTGGCTGCTGCCTTCTCGCAAGGTCGGTTGACCTATTTTGGAATTTCTTTACGAAGCTTTAGTCCATTTCGAAATGATTTGGAGAAGAGGGATTTCATCAGTGCTGGGGCTGCGGCAGGAGTTTCAGCTGCATTCGGAGCCCCTGTTGGCGGTCTCCTTTTTTCACTCGAGGAAGGGATCAGCTTTGTCTACCAACGCTTAATATGGCGGATAGTAGGTGGATGTATACATTAATTTTATTTAATACATTTATATAAAGGCCATCTGGGTTTTTCTTAATTTTACACTAAACTATCTATCAATTAAAGTTTAAATTTGTTTATTGATAAATGTATACTTTAGCTTAAATTTACTTAAATAGTATCGATTATCTTTTTTTGATAATATAGCGATGCTACTTAATAAATTATTTAGTCTGTATCTTTTATTCATTTCTTAATTATCACGGCCAACATCCCGACTGGTACCTAATTTTTTTATTGGGCTTAAAAGCATGCTGTAAATTTTATTCGATTGTACTAGAAACTTGACTATA